ACAATACAATATATAAAATACTTTTTCCAAAATTATTCAATATAACTATTTAAAGTTTGAAAAACAACAGAATTCTGTTTTTTAAATAAATAACAATAGCAGAAAACTTATATTTTCTTTTATAGAATAATATATATCTATGAACAACCAAACCTACACAAGACTGTTAACCAACATAATTTATACAAATCTTTTCTTCTAACCAAAGCAACAATATCACTACAACCTGATCTCATCTAATTCTTCTCTTCAAAAACTTTCTTATTAACTCAATGGATCTTTTTTCTTTTACCTTAACTTATTTCTTTTTTTACAAAATTTTTATAGTAATAATCAACTAAACTTTCTTTCTTAACAAACTTATTCTTAACAAACTAACTTCTACCAATCTCATAATTATTTATCTTGATTTATTATAATTACTTCCACTTTATTTTCAATAACCTCAAACCTTTAATTTATTAGTATTACTTACAATTAACTTAAACTTACTCATAATTTATTACAAATTAATTATAATACAATTCTCTTACTTATTTATATTAACAATTATATATTTTTCCAATCTTTACTCCTCTCTTATCCTTTAATAAATCTAACTTCTTCTAAAATACAACTAATTTAACAAACTATTAAATTAATTTCATATCAAAATCAATTAATCAAACTCTGTTTTTTGATTAAAAACTCTAACTTAAACAATCTAATTTTTTATACAGATAGTTCTATTAAAGACTATTAAATATTAAATATTAAATTAGGCATAAATTAGATTAGTAAAACAAATACCAATATAAATTTTAATGCAAATACAAAATCATATGCTGATACTAATTATACTAAACTTAAAGCAGTTCTATTACTTTTCTTAGTTATTTTATTAAACATTATTGTTATAATTCATTTTAACAAATAAATAGCAATTAAAAACTTATAACATTTTTTTTTTTAAAACAACTATATATTAAAAATTAGGATATTATCTTCTTTATTAATTATTTCAAAACTCTTAAAAATCTTAATATATAATTTCTAAAAATTAAATCATATACAAACTTATTTCATAACCAAGCTAATTTTTTAGCCAAAAAATGAACTTCTAAAACTATTATTACCAACTACTTCAACCTATTTTTATAGAATAATTATTTTATACTATTCAAAATTCATATTTTTATTAAAAATACTATTACAATTCAAGAGCTTTCATTTTGGTTTATACTTAAATATTTTCAAAACATCTCAGAAACTAACTGGTTTCTCAACTTTTAAATAATTAAATCTATAAAACATGATATATAAAAATTTTCTTTTTGTATTAAAATTTTTATGAACAATTTGCCCACTATGAAAAATCTTAACATGCAATACTCTTATTTTTACACAACATCAACTTGTTCCTGATATACAAACCTTAAAAATATACTTTATCTTATTCTTTATATAGATAACAATATTAATATAAACCAAGCAATTCTTATACAATTCAATTAACACTTACTTTACTTCAAATATCTAATAGTTTAGCATTCTTTATTCTTAATCTTATTACAAACTTTACAACTAACTTTACAAATTCTAATTTTTAATCAATCTTATATATTATATCTGACACGTTCTTTATAACAACCTACAATAATATCAAAATTTTTTTAAACAAACAAACAAATATCTTTTTAATTAATCTTATCAACAATCTTCTTATCTGGTACTATCAAGATCTATGATCAGGGTGTGGTAACCTAGTGAAGTGGTCAGATTGTCAACCTCCAAGTAGCAAATCCAGAGTTCAAATCCTAGTGTCGATGAAAAATTTGAAAATCCTTCTTGTGTTATGGTTAACTGTTTCTCATAATTGGTTAGGATAAGATACTTGTAATTTATGTTGCACCAGCATGACCAGCAGGTCACATGGAATTTGTGTAACAGTCACATGACATTGTCCTTTGGAACAAGATCTGTGGTTACATGAAGGAATGCAAACCAGTACTGGGCAGTACAAACCTACAATAAGTTCTCATGGCCATATAAATTATAAGAACCAATAGAAGAAAAGTGAAAGCCCACTTGGAAAACTCAAATAGAGAGGTAATCTGAGCTTTTGACAGTACTACTGTAAAGACTAGACTTATGAAACTAAGTTAGAACTTGTGAAACTAGGCAAATGTGCCAGTCTTTGAAGAGGAACCAAATGAACCAACCAGGCTGCTAAAATTTCTGAATTTTAAAGAAAAAGAGTACATGTTGGCAAACATATAAACCAGAGATGTATAGTTTCGACCTACCTTTTCAGACTATCTGAAATGGTAGCTTGGTGGAACTTAAATTGTATATCAAAGTAGTAAGGATATGTTGTGAAGTTAGTATCAGGATTAGGGTAAACTCTACAAGGACATAGCAGTTTAATGGTATGCCCTGACTACTAGTGTTGGTCTTGATCATAGTGATACTAGATTAGCTGTAAAAATGAAATACAGAAGATTCTAGAAGGTTTAGTACAAGGTTAAAGGTTCCAAAGAACTGCTTTAAAGACTTAATGACTATGTTATATTTTCACTGATATCAGCCAGAATCGTTAGTAGGCAGAGGTAGATAGGTGAATACAGAAACAGAGTAGTTAAATAGGGAACTTACAAGTAGGTTTTAGGTATGGCAGCTAGTGTAAAACCTTCGAGTAGACTACTTAAATTAGACAATGACTAAAGTTGTACAAGTGGCTAGTTGTAAACTCTCTTCATAGTTGTCTCCTATGGTTGTAAAGCAATCATTAGCCAAATATATTATTAATAAAATCCTGAGTCACAAATACTTATCTTAATATTTAAAAAAAAAAAAAAAGATCTATGATCATACATAACATATTTTAACATCAATAGGAATTTGCTTGAAATATAACTATTAAAACTAAATACACAAAAATTTACTTTCTAATAATATCTACTTTTACTAACAATTCTTCAAGAGCTACACAATTTTTTAATACTATATACTCTATTAATAAATAGCTTTTACAAGACTTTACTTTAACTATATGCTTTATATAATATTCTAACTCTTATCTAGAATTTTTTCTAACCTATTCTAGTTAGAAAATAATTTGAAACAATTATCTATAACAATTATTAGAAAATAAGAAAAGGGGTGTAGTGACTTAGTGAAGTGGATAAGTTATCAACCTCTCAAGTAGTAGGTTGGAAGTTCAAAACCTACTGACAGTAAAAAATTTGAAAAACCACCTATATTATATCAGTGTATACAGGCATCTGTACAATGTTAGAGTTATACAAAGAAATGCAAACCAGTATTAGGCAGTGCAAACACAAGATAAGTTCTTGAAACTAGTACTATGGCAATGGCAATCTGTCGATCAGTTGGGATTAGTATCTGTAACATGGTTGCATCAGATAACTGGCAGGTCACAGGACATCTGTGCAATATTGGAGTTATACAGAGAAATGGCCATGTAAATCTATGGACTAGAAAAACTGGAACCTACTTAAGAAGATCTGAATAAAGAGGTAACATAGATCTTCAACAGTACTACTGTAAATGCTAGACCTAGAAAACAAATACCAATATGGAAGGAATCGGGTGAGTAAGAACCTTAGATGAGAGGTACTATCAACCAGGCTGCCAAAAGTTTCAAACTGGAGAAAAAGAACCTTGGAAGGCAGACTCTGGAATACCAAAAACAGGTCACAGTCCTACCAGGCTATCTGGATTAGAAGTCTGAGATTAGAAACAGAGGTATACTAAAGTACTAAGGATATGCTATGAAGTTAGTACTGGGGTCTGAGTAAACTCTGCAAAGGTAAGCCCTGTTAACAAGATACTAAATATGAGTAGTTAGTTAGCAGGAAAACCTCCTGAAGTCTTACAAGTCAGGTGACATATTCTGAAATGTGTAATGGCTTGATAGATGTACAGACAGGAAGGTTACGGTTAGGTTAAATGGCACATAAGTGTACAGGAACTTGTGCACTATTTGTCAATATAAGTATAGAGATCAGAGTATTTAAATAGGTAATCTTCTAGTAAATTGCATATATGGCAGCTAGTGTAGAACCTGCTATGCAGGCAGACTACTTAAATTAGACAACTAAAAGTTGTACGTGTGGCTAGTTGTATACTCACTTTGTACAAGTTATATAATTATAATTAAAATACAATAAAGGCAATAGTCACCGATAACTACAGCCTTAGCGAAAGCAAAAAAAAAAAATAAGAGAAGTAATGTCATATTGGATGTTTATTTTAGCAACACAAATGTAGTTTAAAAATCTTTATTTTAGAATTTTTTTTTGTAATTAAATTTCTTGTTGTATCTTAAAGTTTTTACTATAATATTATATAAATAAATAAATAAAAATATATTTAAATTTGATTTAATTTGAAAAAAATTTAAAATATTGATTAGCAAAGATAAACTTAATTTATAAAATCTTATTATATTAATTAATTTTGAGCTCTTAAGTAAAAATATTCTTTTAAACAAAATACTTCTAATTTTATAAAACAAAAAAATTAATTGTTTCAATAAATTTTAAATAAATAACTTATAATATTAAACATTTAATTATAAAATTTCAAATTAAATTAAATATTTATTAAATTAAATCAAATTTGATTATATTTGAATTTGTTTTAATTTGACAATTTTAGATTTAAATTTGATTTAAATTCAAATATTTGATCTAATTAAATCAAATTGCAAAACTCTAATTACACTACTCTTAAAATTTTATAAAAAAATATATATTATTTTAATGTAAATATTATAAAAAGTTTATAAATTTTTATTAAAATTAAAAAAAATTATTATAAGCATTTATTTATTTTTTACTAAAAATATAATTTATTATGTAAATTATATAAAAAATAATTTACTATATCCACTACTCTTAAACACTTAAAACTAATTAACTAATAAAAAAACTTGTAATTTAAAATATACTATCAAGTTTATATATAATTTCAAAATAGTACACCCTACCCTTAATCTATGCTTCTATAAAACTCTTCCATAATGGATCATTTAAGTAGTGAACATTTTCAACACCTATATTCTTGTTGATTTTTTTACTAGATGAAATTAAGGTCATTTTAAATATGATTAAGATAATATTGAGCATCAAAAAATAGTATCAAAACTTACATGTCTTCGGTAGACATTTTTGTCAGTCCTATTGCAAGAGCATGCTCCTTTCCCTCAGCAAACACACCAACAATGGTATCAGCTGGTAAGTCTTCATCCATCCTAGCACCTTTACTCGTTAGACCGGGGCACATTATGTTTGCTCCAGATAGGATAAACTTAATTGCGCCCCTATCTACCTGCAACCTTGGAAAAGCGTCCGGATCTATATATATTTGAAATTCTCAAATGTTAAAACATATAGTCAATAATATTATGTCTATAAATAATATTACATTTATGAAGTAATCGCAGTGTTGGATAATAAGGTCCATCAAAGTGTTGGAAAAATAATATTTCGTTATTTATAGTTAATAAATTAATATGTTCGTGACTAAAAATGTTCATAATAAGTGATATTATGATATTAATAAAATATAGCAAACAGTCAGTTGGTCAAATTAGCGAAAAAAAACATGTTACCATTTTACCAAAACTAAAGAGGCTTTTTTTGGCAAGACTTCATCGATTACTGGTTCTAACTTTTTATACTGTTCAAGAATTTTAGAGCGAATACCTCGTTGAACTGAAGTTTTTACTAAGGATTGAGTAGCTACGTCTTCTTTTATATTGAACCTGTGAATGGTCAGAGAAGTATTGATAAGAAAGTATAGTGGGTATAACAGCTAACAAAATAACATTACTTTTTGAACATGTTTGATAAGATAAGAAGTCGAAATGTTTGCGTTTATATAGAAATCTTAGTGACACGGACTATTTGTTTAACCAATCATTATTAAGAAGAGCGCGAATTAAATTAAATCAACAGTTATGGCTTTCGTTCAAAAAAAGAATCCAAAAAAAACTACCACTAGAAGCGTAACAAGAGCCGCAAAGGTTTGATAAATAAAAAATAAATAATTCTCTATTGATTTTAATATTTATTATCGTGTTTGATTTTTGACGGCATAAAATCTTTTTCAATGTATTAGGAAAAGGCTGCAGCTGAAGCTGCTACAAAAGCCGAAGTGTCTCCTCAATATGATGGCGATATCTTTATGAAAACAGAATCAACCGGAACTTTTCAAACTGAAATGTCAGAACAAATCATAGAAGAGGATGTAACTTCAGAAGTTTCAACAATCGCTACTCCAATTGATACACCAACAGGCCCACCTTCACCCAGTAATAACTTTCCAATGCCATTAAATCTTAATAGTATTCATAAGCCGTTCAAAAATCCACATTATAAAACAGCCAAGAAATTTAAGAATGTTAAACAAATGCTGGCTGCTGAGAGGAATAATAAAGTTCCATTGGATATACCAACTTGTATGTTTCTCATGTTTTCTGGGTTCATATATAGCACATTTCTAAGTAATTGAATGTTTTAGATTCAAACATAGAAGCACCGCCTTCAATAATACCGCAAAAGAAGTATTGCGATATTACAGGGTTAGAGGTAATATGATATTCGCATTTTAGATTATTTTATAGTTATCTATCTGTTATGTAAATATGCAAACAACTATTAGGGAAAATATACGGATCCAAAAACTCGTCTTCGATATCACTCCGCTGAAGTATACAAAGAGATAAAGCAATTGGCACCAGGCGTTGTTCAAGATTATCTCGGGTTGAGACACGCTGCAGTTGTCTTGCGATAGTTGAACGTGAATAGTCTAATTTACGTGTCTTTATCGATCACGTGAAAAGTTGTAGTTGATATTCCATTATGCATTCAATAAAAAGTCAAAAACAAACCAAAATTGTGCTCAATAATTATTATAGTTTCTATTTTACAATGCTATTTTCTATTACACACACAATATTTATACATGAAATATTTAACATTAATAATTCTATGATAATTCACATTTTCCCGAATGGTCACCGCTCTCACCATTAATATCACTGCTATTCAATAAGTCACTTAAAACAACTACCTCTTCGGCAACTGCTTCTTTTTGATAATCAAGTAAAAACCTAAATAAGTTAGCTGCTTCTCGAATTCTCGAGAATTGAAGGCAAAATGCTTGTATCTCAATAAGAAATCTGTTAACATCTATTATATTTTTACGAATAAGTGACTGAAGAAAGACGCAGATCTAAATTATAGGTATGCGTTAGACAATATGTGATAGTGATATAATTCTATTGGTTGTTTGTGATAAGATAAAAAAACTTACAAGACGAACTTGACGATCTTGTATATTCTTATTTCGACATTCTTCACAAGCACGTACACAATTAGAGAGATAAGAGTGAAGAAATTCCGGTGTAAGTGGGAATAATGACAAAAGATTATTGACCACTTCCATAGAGGACCTCATTCTGTTAACCGGTTCCATAGAAGACTGCTGGGACCGCTCTGGATCGTCGATAGTCAGAAGCGCCTCCAAATATCTAGAAATAAATATTTTGACTAATAACGAAAACGAAAATTTGAAAACTGATCATAATATACTTGATTACTCACTGATCAATCTGTGGGGACGATTTAAGTTGTAATAATACTTTTATGGCAACTCTTGAATTGTTTTCGATCAGGAAAGGAAGCTTTTCCGGAGAAAAATCGCAAGTATAGATAAGCTTATCGTTCTTTTCAAGTTGCGTTAATATGAACTAAAAGCGTAAAAAATTTTTTTTATTATGCCTAACTCTAAATGCACATTCGATTCATTCACAAACCTCCTCTTCCGGTATTGACAATGCTCCTTGCAAAGCTCTATTCATCAAAGATCGGACTTCATCGCGATCTAAGTCTGCCAGCATGTTATAGTCCATTTCCACCTCGAGCGGATTAGACTGCGATACATTACGTAATAAAGAAACAATCATTCAGCAAAGCATTGAATAAAGTAGTTAAGATAGCTTTCCACATATTACCTCATGCTTTATTACTGAAACTTGGGAAGGTGAATTATATGAAACTTCTCTGACTTCCTTATCGCAAGTTTCAGTCCAAGACTGTGATTTTTTGGTTTCCGATTGCCTTTAACAAGAATTCATACAGTCATATGCGTACATACACTGAATTAAACTAAGGAAAAAATAAATAAATAAACAATTAATACCTCCCTAATTGTCCTTTTGGTCGAACATCGAATTCATGCTTAATATAATGCTCAAATCTCGCAATGTTGACTTCCTCTGTATCCATTAGTGAATTTTCGGTGTTTGAAAACTGAAAGAATATATCAGTTGGAGTTTTATGTGCCAACTATTAATTTAATTTTATTCGTTTTAAGAGGGAATTAGGAGTTTTGACACGTCATATTTATAGTATAAGGCTCATAAATGATGGTGAATTTTCGCATGCCACTAGATAGATACCTGAGCTCCTTTGTCAGCTAAAATTAGGGCTTCCACACGAAATTCAACCAACAAATCATAATTAGCTTTGACAAAAGCAAGATTTGAGAAAAGTGATTTATAGAGGTTCAGAAATAGCAAAAGGAATGGATTTTCATGAATAGGAACGATGTTATATAAATGATATAGAATATAAAGGGCAACAATTCGTTGGTTTGCCTATAGTTAAAGCAGGAATGCAAGTGTAAATGCAATGGTTATTATTAATTGGGCATCAAAGCCTTTATTCCTAAAGAGAACAAGACAAATTTACGAGTTTTTTTTTTGTTATTAATGACGAACCTGTAAGTCGCCATCTTCAAGCATCGCCATTAACGTACAAGCAGCTTCAAACCTTTTCTGTTCAGGCACTAAACCTTTAAAAGTGTCTGCAATATTTTCAACCGGCTGATCAGCTACGTATAAAAGGTTTTGAAACGTAGAAATTCCCTCAGAAGTCGCCATTTTCAAGTGGTCTCTGCTGCTTCTAAAGTTTGAAGGACGAGAACAACCTTTAATTCTGCCCTAAATGATGCAATGTATTCTAATAATTTGCACGTGCCAATAAATTTCCGCAGATCATCAAAATTTATCGATTTCTGGACACTTGGTTTACACCAGTCTTCATTGAATAACCAGTTACCGCTATTAGGTATCTTGCTATGCAAGGCTCAAATCGAACAATTGATATTAGTAGTGCTTCGGTGAGAACTCATTCCAATCTTTCTCCAATTTATTTTATGAACAGGTTTTCTGACGAAATATACCTTTTATATTAAAAAGGTTATAGATCTTAAGGCTGAACTCTTCAAACAAAAAGAAGAATTTCAAAAACAAAAGGCGTCAGTAAATAATCAACCAGGTTCCGCAGCTCTAAGAAGAGTCGTAAAGGTTAGCAGCAAAGCGCATCCATTTTTTTCTTATACAGTTTGTATTTAACATCAACTGATCACACAGAAATCAGGACTATGGGAACGTCATAATAAGGGAGTAAATGAAAGATCTCAGAAAGATGAATTAGAGATCGTTGAAGCGCCGACACTGGAAGCTAGTCGGATAGCAATGGAAAGGAAAGCTAAATTATATGATCAATTGAAAAAGACTGGCATTAGTGGTATGAATTAAAATTGTATTTTAAATTATTTTTAAAACCCTTAATTGAAATGTGTCTCGTACATAGATGAGAAGCTTGCCGAAGAAATCTTGGTTGATTTTGATCGTAAAGCACTGGAACATATATCAGTTAGTGAATGCATAACTAAATTTCGCTTTTACAGTATTTACATATATTCGACTGTTCCAATTGTATTACCATTATTATTTTTTTCTATAGGACGATGATGAGGATAAAACGACTACCGAGGATGATCCATGGATAGAATACACTGATGAATTCGGGAGGACGCGCGTAGCGCGTAAAAGCCAAGTCCCAAAAGAAGAATCCTCACCTTCAAGGTATTATTTAATATTATTGTCTAAGGTTGTTCAAAGGTTACCGAAGGTCACTACAGATAGTGCAATATTACACCTGATATCTGTGTGTTAATATGCTCTGGACTTTGATTGGATCATTCATCGTGGTTGATTAAAGTGCTTCCTTCGGACTTCAATTGATTCTATTTTCAAGTATTCATATTAATTTAAAAAAAATTGAAACTATATCTTACACTTATAGTACATTGCTACCCGGTGAAGGAGAAGCTGAAGATATATCAGCAATGGAGCAAGAACGACGACGATGGGAAGAAGCAGCTTTGGAAGAATTGAAGAGTACGCGCTTTTTTTTTTGCAACATATTATTTATTTAACAACTCTAAATACGAACTTTATACTAGATGGCGGTCCAATTCACTATGATGAAACAAATGGTAAAGCGTTTTTTTTTTAAAAAAAAACTAATGTTTGCGTATCAAACTTCTATCACCTTTGATATATGGGCATTTTATTATATTTCATAGAAATCCGTACAAAGGGTGTAGGTTTTTATCGTTTTTCACAAGATGAATTGGAACGTGAAGAACAAATGCGTGCATTAAAAGAGATGAGACTTGAGGTACATATATATTTACAATAATGTTATTTATAAGGTGCATATGCTTTAACTAATTGCATTTTATTAGACCGAAATAAAACGGTCTAATTATCAAAGCATTAAAGAAAAACGAAAAGCACAATTGGATACAAGAATGGCAATGATTCGTGCAAAAAGACAAAAAAATATATCACTCACGGGGTCAACACCAGTTCAACCGTCATCTCTACAGAGAGAAGGATCTAAACTAGATTCATTAACTAGTATATCTACTGTGCCGAATACTTAAAGAGGGCAATTATTTTAAGATTTTATAGATAAAATAGTAATAATAATAATAATTTCAATTTATTGGCCTTTTTTTTATCTAATTGTAAACCAGTAATAGCCGGAAAATAAATTAAGGTTGATTCCTATACCCCTTGCCACATCATCACATGAAACAATCATTTGTGAACTGTCACGAAATTTTGCTATAGCCTTAATCTAACCACAAGTAATACGTGAGCAACGAAAAATACACGCAGTAAATATTTCTTGAAAAAACGTATTACATGTTCGTATGGGCATGAAAATACCAGTTCTAGGGATCTGAAAGTGCCAACGCTGGGTATGTAGGACACCACACCAGGCACTGATTCTTGTTGCCTCATGGAGTCCGTGAACGCAAAGTTCTAGCATACTTTATGGCCCTTTTATGCCCACGAGCATAAAGTACCCAACTCATGTCTAGTGATTTGCGCCCGGCCTATAAAAGTTTTAACAGATCCATAATCAGTACCCTATGTCAATTAGGTTCTACCATAAAATCCCGACATCTAAAATCTCGAAAACCATAATCCCGACATCACGCGGCATAACAATTAATATTTAAGGGTAGGGGGTAGTAGTTTAAAATTATATATAAACCTAATGGTAATTTTTTTTTATTTTTAATTTTATAAAAAATTATATTAAGTAACCTAATTTTAATTTATAAGAAAAGTTTGTAGAGTAGGTTTTTCTGATTCTAATGATAGTAAAATCATTAATATTGAGT